TACAAAATATTTGTCTTCAAAAAATTTTATAAATAGATGATAAAAATGTATATAAATATGTTAATAATAAAATTTAAATTTCTATCAAAATCTATAATAATTTGAATTTATGACAATCATTTATTGTAATTAAAAAATTTTATGTTAAAAATTTATTATAATTGACTTCACTCGCATTTAAAGTCAATTAATTTAAATTTCTATTAAAAATCTACCATAATTTAAAATTTCTAGTTAGATTTCTATTAAAATTATAATTTATTATAATATATTATTAAATTAAATTATTATAATTAAATTATTATAATTAAATTTTATGTTAAAAATTTATTATAATTGAGTTTACCCCCGTTTGAAATTTAATTTAATATGCAAAATAAAAAACTGTTCATTTGACCATGGCAGGTTCCCGTTTTGACTGCCACGTTAACAACCTCATTTTCATCAAAGTATTTCGTTTAATTCAATTAAAAAGAAGTTCAACTGTATGACGTAAATTACTTTTCCAACATTTTTACGTTTTGCAGATCCTAATGAAGTCAGAAAAATATAATGGATTAGCGTGGAAATTAATTTTCCAAGAGCAAATAACTTCGTCACCCATTTACGAGTGACACGGCGGTCAAAGCGTTAAACAGTTTTGTAATACTTCAAGCAGAAATGACAATAATAAAAGCACAAGAATCGCACAATGCAGGATGTAAACGCTTTATTAAAGCTTTAAATCGTTCAGCCATTAATATTTCAGAAAGAAACGCTGCTGGTGACAATTTAACGATGAAATAAGGAGATTACGGTTGTAAACCGCGGTTGACCCGTCTCCGCGAACGCAGCTATCAAACAGGCAATTTTTATCCATTAATTACCAATGCACGCGATTCTGGAAAAATACGTTTCTCGCATTGGATTGTCTTTGGAACCGGCTCGGGAAAGGTCGTCGGTTATTTCGTAACTGAGAACGATTGCAATGTCTGCGACAGAACCGGGCGATACAGAGGTAGAATCAGGGATGAATGTAAATTTCGCCCTACGTTTACAGCTTCGACATCGCGCGTTATTCATCTCACCTAGAACGTTGCTCTTGTACCAGTATCCGTCTCTGATCTCCAGGTAGTCGCTGCGGCAGAAGTTGCTCTTAAATATGTCCAACGACGTGATGTTCAACACGATCCGTTCACCATGGGTCGCTGTGATTCGCCATTCGCAGCGTTCACCTTCGATCGCCGGCGAACTGTTCGGGTGAGTCGGGGATCCGAAGGTGCCACTGTTTTCTTGGAACGTTCTACCGCACTCTGCAGATGAAAATGTAGAGACATTCTCATGCTAAATGATCGCTGCGTGAAAATCGAATGGGTTCGCTCTTGAACCGAGAAGATTTCTCACGATTTTTCTTTTTTTTAGCTAGATCCATTTATACCTCAACGTTTCGATTTCCTTTTACAGATTTGTAAGCTTATTTATTTGACGTTGGTTGTTTGATTAAATATAACGTTTTATCGAGAAGCCTATCGGTAACGATAACCGCAAATGAAATCATTAGAAATTACTTGTTGCATCATGATTCACGTTGATATTGTCATAGAAGAATTTATCGAGAAGCTCGAAAGTATGAAAAAACTGCTGAGAAATTAGAATTTGGTTGGAGCGTTTATAGCTTCGTGTAAAAATGGATCCTGGTATCTTGCAACGAGTGCCAAGTTTTGGGTAAATATGTCTGGGTTTACTATTGTTGTATCACTGTCCGACTTATTATCTTTTGAATAGACTAACACCCATTGATTTGTACCCTATAGATTGTACCCTGCGGTTTTTATACATTTATGGAAAAAATGGATATTTGAAATTAATGTGAAATGACATTAGAATAATTTAAGAATCTTATTAAATTATTTTCAATTTATTGAAGCTATTGATCTTGATTGAACTTCTGTTTTGTAGGATGGATGGCAAACATTTTTATTTTGCACAAAAATCAGCTGCCACGTGATGAGGATCGATGATAACAATTTTTAAGTAGGCATTTTGATAGTATCATTTGCTATAATCGTGAATGGACTCAATGAAATAATTTAAATGTAAATGAAATCTGTTTTTGCTATGACACAAAGTTGATAAAGCCTCAATTTACACACAAGTATTATGTTTCACAAATTTGTTCAAAACTATTTTTAGCAAAATTCATGAGAATTTAAAGAATCTACAAATTTATTACAATTTTACGTATGTTCAAATCGTAGTCGAATGAACTTTCGACGTTAGCGTACACTTAAAAGTGTCGTTTATCTGTGCCGTTAATATTGACAAACGGAACATAATCACTAGACGATGGATTTTATGCATTTATGAGAAAAAGAAGAATTGAGGACTTTCGACCTACTAAAAGTATTACAAACAGAGCTGGACATTATTCGAATAAAATTTTTATTTTACAACATTTCGAATAAACTCTTATTTTATAAATGTAATTTTATTCATAGCAAAATTAATCGTCACTAGAAATAACTGTTCGATTTGTACATTTATTCAGATCCAATGTTATTCATTATTCAAAAAATACAGTCGACCTTATTATGACATCAAAGTTAACAATTATATATTATAACAATCCAGTTAACAATTTAGTTAACAATTTTACAATTTCGAATATGTCCTTTTTATATACAATTTTATTCGAATAATATTTCAAATAAATTCTACGAACAGACTTTAATTCGTAATTCGTTATTTGAATAAACTATGCCCGACTCTGATTACAATTAAGAAAAGATTCTTAAGCGTTTCCTGGTTCTTACAACAGCTGCAGAGAATTTGTATTCCGCGCGAACGTCCGCAGTCTAATAATTACTATGCGAACTTACTGTGGCATTTGTAGAGAAGATTAGTCTGAGCGATGTCTCCTTCGCTGAGTCGAAGTCTCTGTCCAATCTCAGGCCGTTTCTTTCCGTCCCTTTCCATCGGAAGGATTGTGTCTAAATACGTGCCTCTCGAAAATGTGTTCTTCGCATAATGCATGATCGAGTCGTAATCGTACGGTAAACCAAGCGAATTCACTTCCTCTTCCGTGAGCTTATTGAAATTGTACTCCTGACCTACGACGAGAATCATTCACTTACACGACGAGAAAACGATTTTATTCAATCTGACTTTATAAAGTTCTTTTTACTAGAGGGAACAAACGGTGCTGCTTTTGCACGCCAACGCAAGGCTTCGCGCATCTCTTTTTTACTAGTGAAAATATACAGAACATCGGATAGGAAGTTCTGTCACATCCTCCTCGTATTCCAGAACTGTCACTACGCGACTGTCATTTATTTTTTCTATTGACACACTTTCTTGCGAAGAGACAATTCAGTACGTTCGCTACCAATATCGTTCATTTGCGACAATTCTGCGTTTCTCGCCGAGAAAATCGAATTAATTTTGTCTACGTCATTATTTGAAAATGTGATTTAATGCTTCCATCTTTTCTGTAACAATATTTTTACTAATATTTTTATATATTATTGTTTTATAATATATTACTATTTTTATATATTATTGTTTTATAATATATTATTATTTTTATATATTATTGTTTATATAGTGGACGTACCGAAAATTAATAAATAACTGAAATGTTGTACACATTGTTGGTTAGTCACTCAGGTGTACCACATATTAATAATGTTATAATATAATTTTGATTACCATCAGCAAAATTGTACTGAACAACGTTACTTAACCCTTTGCACTCGAAGCCATTTTAACCGTAAAACTAAAGTAATTTTTCTGACTTACAGTACTTCCATTTAACACGACAAAGTGCGTTTTACGCTTACAAAATTGAATCTCGTGATTCATACAACAGTTGCACTTTCAATAACGTTTAAAATCTGAACTTCGATAATACAAAAATTATCGTAGATTGTAACATGATAATTTTAGTGGTGCCTCAGAGTCACCAATCGACTGCAAAGGATTAATCCATCGTCTGTTACATCGACAATTTTTCAAAATCGATCTTTTACATGTTAAATCGGACTTTTTTTATATCACCGAAACGGCTGAGCTTCACGAACTGTTGCGGAGGAGTTAGAGAAACAATTTGCAAGTTCCATACTTTATTCAGAGGCAGATTTAGGTTATAGGCTAAATAGGCTATAGCCTGGGGCGGCAGTTTTTAGGGGGCGGTGGATTTTGAGAAAAATTCCGCGTTAGGTTTTCCTATACACAGTAAAAAATCATACGACCTTAAGTAGTATTATAAATGATTATTACGAATTAAACAGAAAATATTAACTTTTCTTTTATATTATATTACATTTCATCTCGACTAATCATTTGGTGAAGATCGGCACCTTCTTAGGACACAAAAAAATTTAAATAACAAATAGTATACGTTTTCATAAAAGTGCTAAATCTAGTACTTTAAATGCTTACAATCACCTTTCTCCTTTTCGTTGCGGGGTGGAAAAAATCTGTTAGCCTAGGGTAGCAAAAATATAAATCCGCTTCTGACTTCGTGAATACTAATTATACGTTTAACTTCTTTGGACATGCAGTTGTAACAAATACATATTTATATGTGGACATCTTTTAAGGCAGAATAACTTATTTCAAATTGGACCGACGCAACGAGGTGAATTTTTTGGAGATGCTGGAAGGACTAGCTTGCTAGACAATGCTCGAAAATGCGACCTTTTAAATCTTTTTCTCCATAAATATTTTTGCACATTGTCTAGTAAACCAGTCCTTTCAAGGTCTCGAAAAATTCAAATCTGTTTCCACGTTTGATTCTACTTTCGAAAAGTTATTCAATTTTAAAAGCAGTGCACATGTATTTATCCACGACTTTCGTGACAAAAATCGCAGAAAATCTTAAACAAACACAGTTACTTTTTATCGAGCGATATAAAACAGTGTCAGAAACGTTCTGTTTTCTCGAAGTTTACTTCCTTATATATTCTAAAACATGGAATAGAGTGTAAGGTGATGCATCGGTAAGAACCAGGCCATCTAACGATATAAAACTTGTCCGGAACAAACGGCGCATCGGATAAAATCGCGTTCGGGTGACCGAACGTAAATATAATTTCTGGACGAACGTGCGACGTAGGACCCAAGTGGATTTCGATTATCCGAGGCAAGCAGGCCACGTCAAACGACCGTTTGACGTTAAATCATAGAGATCTCGGTCAGCTAGCAGGCTCCGGCTGCAGCCAGCGGGCGTCGCGTCGCAGCCGACAGCAAAGAAACAAAAGCGATCGATTCCGTCGAGTGTCCAACTTCTAACGGCAAAGCGTTCGACGGTGTCGATGGTTTCCGTTGCGCAACGTGGACGTCAGAGGATCGTGTGCACGGCTGCCGATTGTTGCTGCACCGGCTCGTTCTTCGACCGCAACCCCTGCGCGTCGTTGCCCGAACGCGACGGATCTGCCGGCGGTGCCGTTCAATCGGTATCGGATTATTGAAATGGCCGAAACGACAGCCTTAAACGGAACCGCGACAGCCGCACATGCAATTTTGCGGGTTCGTGACGTTCCGTCGCGTCGCGTCGCGTCGGAGGGAGCCGGCTCAAGGCACGATTCCGGGGGGCAAACAGATGGCATTGGATCGAGCCGGCTCGCTAATTAAACAGCTCGTTACCGTTCCCCGTTATTAGTATCCATTAATCGAACCGCGATCACGCCGGCCAGAAACACTGTCACCCAGCGTATAAATATTAGAACAGCGGGTCCGGTTAGTTGTCATCGCTAATGATGGGTGAGATTTACGCGATACCTTCGGCAAATTGGTCCATTAATCGAAAACGGAAAGCTATCTGCTGTGAAGGCAAACGTACAAACGATTCCGGTTAGAAACCCGCGGGTTAGGAACCCGCCTCACGTTCGACAAACATCGACGGTACTTAACGTTGTCGAAGAGCACGGCTGACTTATTGGTTGCGAGTGTCCCGGCGCACCGAAACGATCCTGTACGCCAACCGATGCATCATACAAGGCTGGATACACCGTCGTATTTGGACATACATAGTTCGCATGAAATTGGAAATACATCCCGTGCGCCGCTCGAATAATGGCTTATCACGTGGTACCGGCACGTACGGATTGCATTACAAAACGAAAATGGTAGGCGCGTAATTATCCTAATTAGATGGGAATCGATGTTTCAGGTACAAAGACGTTTTCCACAGCACTGTTTCGTATCTTCCTTGCTGGAAGTTACTGCAAATTCTTCGACTGTTCATTGTGTACAATTGACAATTTTTCAAAAATCGTAGTACACAACGGTAATGTAGTCATTCATTTGCGACGATTTTGCGTTTCTCGCCGAGAAAATCGAACTAATTTTGTCTACATCGTTAATTGAAACTGTGATTCATTGTTTTCATCTTTTCTGTAACAATATTTTTGCTAATATTTTTATATACAATTACTGTTTTATAATATATTATTATTTTTATATATTATTGTTTATATAGCGAACGTACTGAAAACGATGTAGAGCTAATTATTAGGTCTACCGGACCTAAGTTCTGTCCGTTTAAGAAATGAAAAGGAATAATAGATTTTTCATAAATTTAGTAATATTTATTGTACAATATAATTTCCGTCGTTACTTACGACCTCTTGCCAGCGTGATGGCAATTTGTGAGCAACATTTTTCAAAAATATATGTCTCACATGAATATGTGCATATCTATTGAAATTTGCAATGACATTATCAGACAGAACTTTCCGGTAGACCTAATATTAGGTTTAAACGATAAGTGAAATGTTGTACAAATTATTGGTTAGTCACTCAGGTGTATCACATATTAATAATTAATTAATTATTAAATTAATTATTTTGATTACCATTAGCAAAATTGTACTGAACAACGTTGCTTAATCCATCGGCTGGTACATCGACAATTTTTCAAAAATCGTACTATACAGTAGTACAATTTAGAACAAATATAGTAATAGCAATGTACGCTACTTGCACGTGCAATCAATGTAAACTTGTATTCACAAAAAAATCGAAATACTGTAATTCTTTGATCTTTTGCATGTTAAATCGGACTTTTTTTATATCACCGAAACGGCTGAGCTTCACGAACTGTTGCGGAGGAGTTAGAGAAACAATTTGCAAGTTCCATACTTTATTCAGAGGCAGATTTAGGTTATAGGCTAAATAGGCTATAGCCTGGGGCGGCAGTTTTTAGGGGGCGGTGGATTTTGAGGAAGATTCCGTTTTAGGTTTTTCTGTACATAGTAAAAAGTCATACGACCTCAAGTCGTATTACAAATGATTATTACGAATTGAACAGAAGATATAGTAAATTCTCCCTAATTGGCGCTCAGACTATACACAAAATGGATAATTTGGGAAGGGAAGATACGATTATTCGAGCCTTGCGGCTCGTTTTTGTAGTTGCCGATTGTCAATATCTATAAAAATGAGGCGCAAGGATCGAATTATCGTATCTCCTCTTCCGTAATTGTCCAGATTTTTTTACAAATTGGAGGATAATTGGAGAGAATTTACTATATCTCGTTTTTAATCTATAGCTTGTATATCTATTGGAGCAACTGGAATATGCACTTTTGTAATCACGGCGGGGTATAGTGCTAACAGAGTACATTTTAATGGTACAAAAGAGTTGCTATAATGTGGGGCTTTTAATATAGATCAGTTTGAAAACTAAGGTATAGCATTCATTTTAGATCACCTGTAATCGTATGCGTTGATTACATAAACTAAAGTGATTGAAAGACATGAGCGCAGTTTAGAAATATCAGGGCCTTTTTTAACTAAAGGAGAACAGCAAATATAACATTTACCAATTGGTTCTTTTTATCTAATGTACAATCCCGTCAGAAAGTCTTCGGCCACTTACTTATTTTGAGGAAAATGATCATTACAACACAGATGCAATTTTTTGGATTAATTTTATTGCTGAAGTTTTACGTACATATATATATGTATGTACATTTTACAGTGATATCTGCGTTTAAAATTATTATTATTTTGTATGTAGAATCCAAAAAGTGCATAGCAATGCATAAGTAATCTTACGCATTCATCGACATATTCTCCTCGTGCGGATATGACAGCTTGAATCGCG